GGCAGATTGTAGACATAATATGGCGGGGTTAGGCGTGTGTATGGGCAGCGGATTTCGGCCAAATTTAAACAACCACACGAACGTTTACGTACATTTCAAGCCGAGATGAGAAAAGCGGGCAATCAAGAACAAGAGACTCGTACTCGCCACCTTCGCCAGCAAAATTGACCGCAAAGCCAAATTTGGCAGAAAGGCTCTCAAGATGGTCGACCATTCGGCCTAGCGGAATCCCCACATGCTCTTTGCCGAGCCCAAGTGATGCCACCTTTATGATGATGACTTCCATCTCACAGGCAATCATTTCCTTCACGAGGAAATATTGGTCCTTTTCCCAAAGCGGCGCCAAAACATGCAAGTTCAACCTGATCGCAACGGACTCAACGCGGTCTTTTTGGTATTTCGAAAAAATTGCGCCAGCAGATACGGCCTCAACCTCTGGATACGACTTGGCATAAAAAAATCACCCAACCTCTTTAACGCGGGCCAAAAGCTTGGTTAGATCCTCAACCTCATCCATGGGGTTATATTCCTTATCGTCGTAATGAAGCGATGTCTTGATGGCAGTGCCTGTAATTTTTTCGCGCATCAGTGGAACTGATAGGGCTTCAGCTATGTATGGCACTGCTCGATGCCCAACAGACTGGTACATGTAGCTATCAAGCTCTTCTTGATCTGCTGGGGGCTCCAGATTTGCAACAGCAACAAGCACATGCCCTTCTTGAATGCATTTGAAAATTGTGAAAATCGAGTCTTTTCCTCCACTGCAAATTACCTGCGTGAAACGGGTACCTTATGAGGGCGACAAATTTCATTCAAGGAAAGGTTGGGGGCTGCAAATTAAACGCACCCAACCCTAACCCTAGCTTCCTATCCTCGCCTAACTGGCGATGACAAAATCGCGTGGTAACACAAACATGCACATGTGATGCCGATATAAATTTGATATCCTTAACCAACAAATTATTGCCAATAATTGGCCGCCTATTTCATACTTAATCCTTGATCAGTTAGATATAGTTTTTGCAGAGATGAAGGGAACCTATTTTGGTATCAAACCGTGTGCTTTTTCATGCAAAACACGAAAATTTATGGATAGGCCAACTGGATAGAATTAAAATCTCCATGAAGATTTTGAATCCATCAAAAGAGGCCGGCTGATTCGGTACGAGTTAAAAAAATTGGCGGGGAAGGCACCTAGCAACCTTGAGTTGGGGCGGGCTGGTATTTGAGCTGTGAATTTACATTAAAAAATAATTTTGAATTTACCAATTCATCATTGGTCGGGCATCGTTCAAATGGGCCGGAGTCCTGTATCAATAAAGAGGAAAGAGTTCTTGATGCCTGTTTTATCATGTCCAAGTTTTTCGTTTTAACACTGATTTTTGCATTCTTAGCATTTGCTCACGGTGCCACAAACGATTTAAATTTTGATTCAAACGTGGATACCTCCTTTGAGAACGGCAGACTTGAGTTGACAAAACAAAGCCCTTATTATGACGCTGCTAAAGGTTTCAAAGATGATGATACGGAGCCAAGCAAAATCCGGTTTGAAGCATGGGAGTTGTTCTTTTATCCGATTTTTCTGTTTTTCGAGTGTATCGCCCCTATATACACGATTTTAAGGCTGTTTAACAGTGGTTGGATGATATATGTTGCATATGCAATCACGTTCTGTGCATCTTTGTATCTTAGCCGATTTATCATCAGAGATGAACCCGGAATTCATTATCTGGTTTACCTAAAAAAATTCGAGGTGCTTTCTGAAATTTTGATCATAACCCGCCCGTCCATGTATCTCATCCATTTTGGCCACAACACAATTTTTATTTTCTTGGTGTTCTTCCCTAAATTTTTAGATTTTCTACCTAGCTTAAAATTTTTGAAAGATGATAATACAAGAGCGTATTGGTACTTTGGCTGTGGCGTTATGTTTTCGTACTTGCTTTCCTTGGCAAACACCAACTTTATGGTCTATGGCTCTATCTTTCAATTCATATTTTACTGCATTCTTAGAAAAAAACTAGACTCTCAACAAAATAATAAAGGCAAGCTTTGATTGGGAAAGAAATTATGGGAATACTGGTAATTTGACGGACTTTTAAAAACAATAAATAATATTACGCATTTAGAGAACGTTTAGGGATGCGGGAATAGTTGGTTTGAATGGCTGTGTTTAATTCAGGTGAAGCTTGCAAATTTTTACTTTGATGATGGGAGGCACATTTGCATATGGGAGCCTTGAATTTTTCTTTCTAAAACAACAGAAGAGAAGCCGGTTTTTTAGGTGTGCATTGAAGCCAAATGGGAAGGATGCACACACACACACACACACACGTGCAAGGCGTGTCAGCAATCAACTTTGCACTCAAAAGAGAAAAGAACCACATAATAAACGGGGGCGAGAAGCATCAAGCCTCAAGACAGACGGTCATATATGAAATACTCTGTGTCTTGCAGTCAGTGACATGGTTTGATCCAAAATCATGCCTTTATTTGACCATGGAGGGCCGCGGGTTAGGGCTGCGTGAACAACGAAAGCCGGCCGAAATGTTGTGCAATTGAACAAAATTTCGATTTCAACTTTAATTTTACAGCTGCCGAGGTGTATGAATGAAAGTGCGCGCGCTGCACACATCATCAAACATGGCATGTTGCCTTTTCGAATGATTTCAATTGACGTGAATTTTAAAAATCTCGAGTTTTGCTATGAATGTATTGAGCCATTGGCTGGCTCCTCCTCTTTCTGCATCGTCAGAAGATGTGAAAATCTTTCCACCCTGCTGCTTGGCGACCAGACCGCTGATGCTCTTGTCCCGCTTTCCGATCGGAATGACGGCAACAATCAGCTTGCCATTTATGGCCAGATGGTTTCCACTGCCCAGCCGCTGCAACTTCGCCAGCTGCTGGGGCTTGTTGCGGCCCAAAAGAGCATCGCAGGCATCCTGCTGACCATCATTGTTTACATGCTGCTCTTTTTTCTGGGTTTCATCTATTTTTTTGTGCGAAGGCGCTCCAAAAAGACCAGGGCTTCTCAGCCTTTTGTGCAGTCGCAGCTGGTCATCTTTACAGACGAGGTGCTGGGGTATGGTTCACAAGGCACCGCCGTTTTCCGAGGCGTAATTTGCGAGCGGACAGTGGCCGTCAAGCGCATAGTACTACCGCCAGGAAACCGCCCAGAAATGCGGCTGATCGAGAACGAAATCAACATCCTACAATCATCCGATCACCACCCAAACGTGATCCGCTACTTTTACCATGAAGTGCGCGATTCGTTCATGTACATTGCATTGGAGCTGTGCGCTTGCTCGCTACTGGACTTGTTCCAAGATAGCCCCAACGCCGTTTCATTGATGGGATCTAAATTTCCAGCCATCACACTGGGAATGGTACGGGGACTGTTTCAGGGCATTGAACATCTGCACACAATGTTGCGGATTGTGCATCGCGACATAAAGCCTTCCAATGTGCTTCTGCCGCCTGCCGGAGACAAGCTACTGCTTGCCGACTTTGGGATCGGGAAAATCTTGGCACCAGAAGGCTTTTCCAGCACACATGCAATGCGAACCATCTGCGGAACTTCTGGGTGGAGAGCTCCAGAGCTGATTTTACTTGGACATGGGGACGACAAGGCAATCAAAAGTGCCTCCGCCTTTGCATCGGACGTTTTTTCGGCGGGCCTTGTACTATTTTACATCCTGACAGGCGGCATGCATCCATTTGCAATGGGGGGTATCGTTTCCCACGATGCTGGGTCCGTTTTAGACGACCATCAAACCGATCCGGCCAGTTTTGATGATGCTGCCGAGCTTTCAGATCATCAGGTCCAGTATGAGGAAAGCATTAGCACTGACAGTGAAGACCAAATGGCTAACGATGATTCCGTTGCTGCAGGCGATGCTTCTCCTTGTTCGAGTCGGGTCTGTCTTGAGGGCCCGTTCAGGCATTTGGCTCCTGCTCTTGTTGAGGCCTCGATTCTACAAGGTGTACATGATCTTGGGTCATTGGACACTTCGCAAAGACCTTTTTTCTTTTCCACAACTGAAGCAGCAGACATCATCAGGAGAATGCTGCAGAAAGATCCACGAAGCCGTCCAACAATGGCACAAGTGTTGGGGCATCCGTTTTTTTGGACAGCTGCACAGAAACTAGACTTTCTTTGTGACATTTCCGACTGCCTTTCTGCGGACGATACGGAGGATTCCAGATCCACACGAGAAGCTCTTGCTCGTTCATTGGCAGCTGCCTGGCGCCAGTCGATCAAAGATTATGGTACTGGTGGAGCGCCGGCAGCTACATCTTTACGCATGGATACGATGGTAAAACCGTTCGCGCAAGACTGGCTACAACCGCTCTCTCCGGCAGTGCGAAAATCAATCCTTGAAGACCGGCGGCGCAGATATAATGGATCGCGAATCGCTGATTTGCTTCGCGCGATCCGAAATCGCCGAAGCCATTTCATGGAGCTTGATGTGTCACAAAAGGCAGAGCTTGGCGCACCTCCAGAAGACTTTTACAGCTATTGGGCCGTTCGCTTCCCTTTCCTGGTGATGATGTGCTGGAGTGAATTCTTCCGCTCAGGACTATTGGACAGACCTCGCGAGCGTAGCTTGCGTGCATACTACTTGCCCTGGCTTGGTTCGCCATAACTTGTAAATAATAAACGAGCCAATTTACCGACAATAGGCGCAAACACACAAGCAACGGCCCAAGCGCTTTGGCGAGTGTTTATTGAGCATAAAGCGCGCGGTCCACAGTGGCAGGCATCGGCTGGATCTCTGTGCCAAGAGCAGCCTCAATTTCAAACAGGCGATGGCGGTCTTCATATGTGACCAGGCTGATGGCGATCCCACGATGACCAAAACGTCCTGAACGCCCGATGCGGTGCAGGTAAGTCTCTGCGTTTTTGGGGAAGTCAAAGTTAACCACGACGTTGACAGTGGCCACGTCAATGCCTCTTGTCAACAGGTCCGTGGTGACGAGGTTACGAGCAGAGCCTGAGCGGAAATCGTGGAAAATTTGATTCCGATGCTCTTGGGGCATGCGCGAGTGGAGGAAAAAGGCCGAGACTCCAAGTTCGGTGGTGATTTTCCTCGCCAGTAATTCGACTCGCGGGGCGGAAGAACAAAAGATAATCGACTGGTTGATGGCCAGCTTTGAAAACAGTGTATTGAGGCAATGGACTTTTTGGCGCTCTTCGACATATGCATAAAACTGGGTCACGCCCCGCAATGTCAGTTCGTCCATCAAGTTGATGAGGACGGGAGCTACTGTGGGGTCGCTGATTATTACAGGGCCGCCGTTCGGATTGGCCTTAGCAGCTGTGATCTTCTGTGGTGTCATATGCCGAGAGGCCCAGTGCTCTACAGAACGTGGAAAGGTAGCTGAAAAGAGCAAAATTTGTGGGCCACATCCCGCGAGCGATAGCAGGTCTGAAATGATGCCCTCGAATTCTGGCGCAAGCAGTTTATCCGCCTCATCCAAGACAAGGATACGCAAGGCGGTCAAAACAGCTATCTCGCGCCTGGCAAGATCTAGGATGCGTCCCGGTGTTGCTACGATGATGTGGATCGGCGATGCAAGACGCACAATGTCCTCTTTGAGGATGGTACCGCCCGTAGATACCATCGTCTCGATACCGGTCAGGTGTGCTGCCATTTTCCGGCATAAAGATGAAGTTTGCAAAGCGAGCTCGCGCGTCGGCACCAAAATTAGCGCCTGAATTGCACACTGGCGCGGGTTGACGGTTTGCAACACCGGGATCAGAAAGGATGCGGTTTTTCCTGTGCCGTTTTTTGCGCGCGCCAGCACATTTCGGCCAGAAAGCGTCGCTGGCAGTGAGACTGCCTGAATTGGCGACGGGCTCTCATAGCCCAGCTCGAAGAGCCCTTTGAGCAATCCCAGCTTGAGGCCAAACGACTCAAAGTCCATCGGTTCTGCGAGCAATACATCCTTGAAAGTGAGAGCCCAAATGTACCTCTGTTTGGATTCGGGGATCCCGTTCTGGAGCTACAAGACCTTCCTTCCAGTCGTTCGGAATTTCTGGCGCGTTAGCGCTACTGTGAGTGAGTTGGTGGCCATTCTCACTGTTCTCGTTTGAAGTGGTGCCTTTCTCAAGGCTACCATCCTGCTTGGGGCGCGGACGGCCCCTGCCACGACCCCGGCTTGCCGCCTGCCGGCCGCCTTGACCATCTGTGGCCGGGGCACTGCGCGTCATGGATGCAGCATGTGTTGTCGATGTTGCTGGCATTGCAAATTAAATTGTACTAGTTCCTACCGTCAACTAGTATTATTCCAAATGTAAATTTCAATTGCGGAACCCAAAAGTTTGTAAATTCTCGAATTTATTCAATTTTTTAATCAGTAATCATCATGGCCATAACCGATATGTTCTGGGACTTTCTTTCATACTTTGGGCTGTTTCCGCGCAATGCAAAGGTGCTCTTCCTCGGCCTTGACAATGCTGGAAAGACAACATTGCTACACATGCTGAAGAACTCGCGGCTTGCAGTGCTCAATCCGACCCTTCATCCCAGTAAGCCCCCATTTTTACCCTCTAGCATCGGAGGAGCTTTACGTGAACAATGTCTGTTTCAAAGCATATGATCTCGGTGGCCACTCTCAAGGTATATTCTTGTCATCATAACTTAGCCCGACGCTACTGGCGCGACTACTTCCCCGAAGTGTCTGGAATCGTCTTCATGGTCGATTCCTCTGAAATGAGTCGCTTCGACGATTGTCGTAAAGAACTGCAGGTTAGATATCTTTTCTTAGGTTTAGGTGAGTTTTTTCTTGCTCTCCTTCCCAGAGTCTGCTCGCGCTAGAGGAGCTTCGTGATGTGCCTTTTCTCGTGCTGGGGAACAAGATCGATATTCCAAGTGCCGTTTCAGAGGAAACTCTTTTGACATATCTGAACTTGAAGGGCACAACCACGGGAAAGGAGCGTACCGTGCGAAAAGATGTGCGCCCGCTGGAACTTTTCATGTGTTCCGTGGTACAACGCTTTGGTTATGGTGAAGGCTTCCGCTGGCTTGCACAAAACATGAAGTAATCAATAAACGAGGGTCAAGCTTACTGGATCAGCCTCGCTGGTCACGCAATTTCCTTGTACTTGCGCCTGCTGACTTTTAATTTCCGGTGCTTGTGGCGTGCGTGGTCAGTGTGCACTAAAATATCATTTATTGGCTGAGGTCATCAGCAGAAAACGAGTGCGGCAAAAGCGTGGCAAGCGTGAATGTTCCGGCAATGGTGACGGCTCCAGGGGCGGGCGAAGGATCTGTCGCACAGATGACTACAGTCTCCTTTCCAAATTCAGACATGAACTGCCTGCAGTTTCCACATGGTGTCACAAACTGGGACGGGCCAAGCGGTTTCCTATTTGAAAAAAAAGGATGCACATACGCGACGACAGCAATTGCCTTGATGGATGGGCGAGTGGGTGTTGCCGTGATGGCTTTGGCGTAGGCCACCTTTTCAGCGCATATTCCACAAGGGTAGGACGCATTCTCGACATTTGCACCTTGGATTAAAAGCGGCATACAATACCAGTGAACATTTCGTCATTTTCGGTCAGCAATGCCGCTCCAACAGAAAAGCTGCTGTATGGCGAGTATGAGTTCATTCTAGCCTGTGCGGCCGCCTTAACTAGCTTGTCAATTGCTTCTGGTAAAGTAAACAATGGCCAAGCTAACCAGTTGACAGTTGTGACATGAAAAGTTTATAAATTGCAACTTCAAAAGCGGTACCAAACTCACATTTAGGAACATTGGATTTGCAACCACACTGGCTCTAATTAAGCCGGGCTAAGGCCGGGGTCCGTTGCAAATGGCGGCGATCGGTTTGGCCACAGTCGAAACGACAAATGTCACTATTTTCAAGTGAACATGTGTGCGCTCAGAAATCAGTCGATTTAACTTGCTTGTGCTTTCAATCAATGCTGCTGATTCCTTGATCGGAAAATCGGCTCAAATCTGATTTACTTCGTTGTTAGGGGTACTCGATCGATCTTTCAAGCAAAGAAAACGCGATTTTTACTTGATACATAAGCACAAAAGAGAGGGCCGCTGCCTTGGCGAAAAATTGGGGCCCATCTATTCAACAGGCTTGGAGTTGATGGAGCCTTTTGATTTTCCTAAAATTCCGGTGCACCCTGTGTTGGAGGATAAACATTCGCTATCTCTCTGAAAGCTGATGCTTCAAGATGTGCGATTCCCAAACCCTGCCCAAAATGCCATACTTACTTCGGGACCAAGGGTTTGCACAATGGCATGAAATCGTTAAATGCAATAAAAAGGCCATCTCTCAAAACAAACGGAACTGATATCTTTACGTATTTGTTTTAGAATTGGGATGCATGGCCAGCACGTTAGAATCAACATTAGCTACTTTCCCGATCGTGTAAACCAACAAGCATATCATAGCTTGAATGGATGCCCGGGTCGGGACTAAATTTACTGAACGAGCCCCAAAAATCTGATTTCCAAATTCCTATGCATGCACTGCAACATTACTAAACATCCTAGTTTTGGTCTATTTAATTAAATCACTCGGTGAGCGAGAGAGCGTCCTCGATGGCATGGAACAGGTTAGTTGCCTCCAGGCTGCTTTTCATCTACAAACAAATCGAAGGCAGGATACCTTTAATAGAAAGAGACGGCAAGAGGAGGCCTCCTCGGCAGCAAGAAATTGTACAAATCTTTCCTGGACGATTTGCGGGTGAAAGTTCCGTACCAGCAGAACGTTTAAGATTACACGGAGCGATCCATCGCATCGCATAACTATAAAAACTAAACGGTAACATTCATACTGAGCCGATATCCGCGATCCTTTTTTTTGTCGGGGTAAGAGTTGAGCCGGACGGTTCCAACGCCGCGTTCTCGCCAGGCTTCGTTTTTTGAACCGACAGGCATCCAGAAAAGCTTTCCTCGGGCAGTGAAAATCGTTTCCTCGTCTTCTTCACCGGTACAGAATTCGCGAATTTTGGTGACAGTGTCATCTTCGGTGTCATTTGAAATGCTATCCAAAAAAGAAGGGGGTTGTTGTGAATCTTCCAGGAAAGAAAACGGGGACGAAGAGGCGCACGCACCGGAGGCTGCAAGTGTCCCAAATGTCACTAGAGAAGCGCCTCCAAATATCTTTGATTTACAATCTCGAGGGTCCGCCTCCTTTGCATATTGCTTTGGTGGTTGAAACTTTTCGATCCGGCTTGACTTTGGTATTTGAGCAGCACATTCCAGGTTTTGATTGTCTTTGTTCGGCAAGTCCAAACATCCAGCTTCTAAAGGTTTCGTATTTACTGAATCTTCTAACTGGTCTGAGGACACATCAGGGTTAGAGACATCTGAATCGGAAGGTGAAGATGAGAGATCCGACGGAACGGATTCTGACGACGATGGCCCTGCTGTGTCATCGTCCTCATTTGATTCATCTTCTATGAACGCAGTACTAGTTTTTGGCTCGGATTGCTTATGCCGTTTTGATACAGGCGGATCCGAATACTCTACAGACGATGGATCAGAAGATAAAAGTAAAGGTCCATCCATACTAGTGCTAAAAAATTAAAATTTGTGGGTAAGATTTTTGAGTCTTCATTACAATGGCAACCCAACCGACTCTAGCAGGGCAACGCTAGCACAAATTATATCGTCATCCCTGATATGGTTGAAGCGTAGCATAGCCTGTTCATAACCAAGTCCACAAGGTTTGTGCTAGTTTTGCCTGACAATGTAGCTACTATATGCTCGAAAACATGGCAGCAACAAGCACCTCCAGTAGGCGTCCTCATGCAGCTATAGGTAGTTCCAGATTGTGAAACTCTAATCCAACTTTGATTCTCCCTGAAGGGAGATATTTCTTGACTCTTAAATTGCGAAGAGGCTTATATTTGGAGCACCTGTGTCAGCATACGAGTATGGCAGCGACTGCTCACACGATGCTTTCGTTTTGAAAGCCTTCAATATCAATGGAATGCAATCAGCCCTATCTATTTTTACCCTGCTTTAGATTCTGGTTCATATGCTAAATTGGTGAAGGAACCAGCTCAGGTCCACAAACAGGGGCCAGGGCAGATTTCGAGGCCTGTCCAAACACTAACAAGCAAAAATTTTCGTCGATCCGCTCCTATTTATCAAGTTGTAAACACGCCTTTTGCTTAGACGCATTATTTCGGAATTTTTGAACGGGATACTCCATGGAGGTAAAGCCTGCCATTTGGTGGTATCAAAAGCGATCCGATCGTTAGGTAGAACAGAAGGATCTGTGTTGAATTTCCAATCATAGCTTGAACAGCCAGGAGCTCAAGGCTGGGAGCGCTCAATGGAGTGTTGAGTTTTGCGTAAATCATACATACGAGATATTCGCAGTGTTCCTGTGTCTCCCAAAGCGAATGAGGAGAGGCCTTTTAAAGGCCCCTTTCGGCTTTGAAAAACACTTTGGCTCCACCATGTGGAGCACCAGTGACTGTGTAAAATCTAACTATCGATTGCTATCAGATAAAAATGGCAGTATGCTACACGTTTATTTGGAGGCGGTGTCTGGAGAGCCTCTGTTTTTCTTTGCTTTTTTCTCTTTTTTTTCTTTCTTCTCCTTCTTTTCGTTTTCTTCTTTTTTCTCTTTGGTTTCTTCGATCTCTTCAACAAGTTTCCTCTTTGAAGATACAACAACATCAGCCTTGGTAGAGTACGACGAAGTCGAATTACTTTCTTCGGGACTAATAAATGTATACTTTTTTGCAGACGAGGGCAATGTTGTAGAACGCTCAAGGGTCCGTAGCCGCTTTTCGACAAAAAGACGGCTGGAAGTTCCAAAGGTCGAGTCCGCTGGTTCTTGCATTGCGGGCTCTTGTGCAGACATATCATCACGCGCAAGCGCATCAATGCGAACAGAGAGAGCAGCCTTAGCGGCAAGTACTCTAGCGATCTTACCCTTGATACGTGCGCCTGCCTGGCCCACTAGAGAGGTATGGAAGAGAAGGCCATATTTTGGTGTTGGAGAACGACTCTTAAGCGCTCTAAATAGCGCCTTTTCGGCGCCCAGAAGCTGAATGGTAGATGCAGGTTGCTTGGCCAATGATATTAGAGTACCTGAGTGTGCAATTAGGCGTGCTCCAACTAGCTCCCCCAAAAGGGCAGTCAAGTTTGGCGCAATGGCTTCCATCCGTACCCTGAGATACTGTGCAAGCTCTGTGCGATATTCTGACAGAGAAATGACCTGATCCGCAAGACTTTGGATATGCGCTAGATCGTCATCTGTCAGCTCTGTACCCATGGAAAGATCAGCAAGCACTCTAATTCGAGCCTCCAGATCTTCTGGTAAAATTGCGCTAAGATCAACGGTGGCGGCTCCATTTCGTCGCCCCATGACCTTAATCATCTTGGCATAGGCGAGCGAATCTGTGAGCACTGTCGTTAACTCGGGAAAATGCCAGCCATACCACTCGCGCATTCGCATTGTGTATGTATTGAGTTCCTTATCAAGATCGTCCAAAAGAGCGATTGCCTGCACCACCATCGAGTCAAGGCGATCTGAAGAGAATTTGAGCTTGAAACGTGAGAGGGAGTGGGCTAGACCTAGGGCCATCGTTCCCAGAGCCGAAGAAGACTCATCTGAAAGTAATTTCGGAAGCAGAGACCTTGCACCTCGTGTCCACTCTCCAACAACGGCAGAGTCAGTGGAGACCGAGATTTCCAGTTTTTTTGCAATTGCTTTACCTAGTTTGGTGTCTGCAACTCCAAGAGTTACAGAGGAGGATTTTTTTACTTCCTTTTTGAGGAACTTTTTGAGAGATTCTGGGAGAGAGCCTTCCATTAATTGCGATGCTTCAGAAAGTGCATCGGCTGTGCTCTCAAATTTGGAAAATGCCTTCAAAGAGATTGGATGCTTGTTTGCCGAAGGTTGGCTGAAAAGAGCATTAATGGCATCTGGAGTAGTCGCTTTGGACTCATCGCACTGGAAAAGCGCATAGCCCGCAGGAGATTCGAATAAAAGATACATTATTAAATATGGGCTTGATGGATGAAAATGCTCTCGACCAGAGAAGATAAAGCGACGATCTTTGTATAAAATCCGGGTAAAATTTGAAATTTAGTAATTTTAAAACTTTGGCAAGTTAGGGTTGAAATTATGACCCTTTCGAAAGGCCATGTTTTGTATAAAACCCCATGTTGCATTGATGCCATCGTTACTTCTGATTAGCCAATAGGTCTTGGAAGTCCAGAATGGAGAGTGTATTAATGCAAAAGGGTAGTGAGGAAATCACATAATTTAAATTTGCATGCATGCACTTCCTTAATCTTGGTCCCAATTTTGACCTTTTCGTCATTACTTTTTACAAGTAAATGTTGCTCCCGTTCCCTTTGAGATTATTGGCCTCTTTGATTCATGAAATTCAAGGCATATGTTAGTTTTGCAACAAGTAGGTCTCTAAATGCATGCTTGATATTTTTAGCCGAAGAGAATTGATGGGAGGGTTAGGGTTAGAGGCTGTTCAACCGAATTAAATCAAAAAGTTTATCGCATCAGATCCAAAAATTTATTAACGCTAAACTAGAGATTCAATGCAACATCGACAAGCTACTCAGATTTGGAGCTAGCTAGAGTTCTCGCCCTTTTTATCGAGAATGGGCCAAAGCACCGAAATGGTATTGAGATGCACCGAGGAACCCAAATGGAATGCCAAAAAGCTCAGCATACACTTGCATGTTTTCTTTCAAACCAAATTAGTTGTGTTTTTAATTTTGACATAAATTTTAAGTTTATTGAAATGGGATGCCCCTCCATCGCTTCTGTCCATCGCTCGGAACAGTTCCGCGTATCGCCTGAAGGTTCCATTGATGGGAAAACACGCGCATGCCATCAGATTGTGCAGTCTATGATTAGATCTCTTTCGAAGGGCGAGTCTGTTAATCTAAATGCGTTGAAAGCCTCGGTCTCTCACACTCTCAAGCTGGCATCAATGCCTCGCTTAGTGGATATTATCGCAGCGATCCCAGAAGAGCACAGATCGGCACTTGTGCCTTTATTGCGTGCTAAACCTGTTCGTACGGCTTCTGGTGTGGCCGTTGTCGCGGTTATGTGCAAGCCACATCGCTGTCCGCATATTGCTATGACCGGAAATATTTGCGTTTACTGCCCTGGAGGCCCAGACTCTGACTTTGAATACTCAACGCAAAGCTATACAGGTTACGAACCCACATCAATGAGAGCTATTCGTGCACGATACGATCCTTATGAGCAGAGTCGCCAGCGCTGTGCTCAGTTGGCAGCGCTGGGACATTCAGTGGAGAAAGTCGAGTTCATCGTGATGGGTGGAACTTTTATGGCACTTCCAGAGGCATACCGCGAGACATTTATTTCTCGCCTCCATGATTCGCTTTCGGGTAATCAAAGCACTTCTCTGGATGAGGCCATCCAGCTTTCGGAACGATCAGCCATTAAATGCGTAGGTATTACCATCGAAACGCGACCAGACTATTGCCTGCGTGTGCACATTTCCCAAATGCTGCGTTATGGCTGCACACGTCTAGAGATTGGCGTTCAGAGTGTTTATGAGGATGTGGCCAGGGACACTAACCGTGGTCATACGGTTCAGTCCGTATGCGAGTCCTTCCAAATGGCAAAAGATGCAGGCTACAAAGTGGTCTCGCACATGATGCCAGATTTACCGAACGTCGGCTATGAGAGAGACATTGCCCAGTTTCATGAGTTTTTTCAAAACCCATCCTTTCGGCCAGACGGACTGAAGATATATCCAACACTAGTCATTCGTGGCACTGGTCTATATGAGCTTTGGAAATCTGGGCAGTATCGTTCCTATTCGCCTGATACGCTGATCGACCTGGTTGCCCGCATATTGGCAATTACGCCACCCTGGACTCGAGTTTATCGCATCCAACGGGACATACCCATGCCACTTGTCACTTCTGGCGTGGAACATGGCCATCTTAGGGAGTTGGCTCTCCAAAGGATGGCCGATCTTGGGCTACGGTGTCGTGACGTGCGCACTAGAGAAGTGGGCATCAAGGACGTTCATGGAGAGCTTCCCACGAGCTCAAACAGCGAGCTTGAGCTTGTGCGGAGAGACTATGTGGCCAGCGGCGGTTGGGAGACCTTTCTCTCTTATGAAGATGTAGCTTCCGATACACTTGTTGGTCTACTTCGGCTCCGACTTCCCACTGCTCAGGGTACTTATCGCCCAGAACTAGTAGCGGAACCAACTTCTCTGGTCCGAGAGTTGCACGTATATGGCTCAGTGGTTCCACTGACAGTCAAAGATCCCCGCAAATTCCAACATCAAGGCCTTGGTACATTGCTGATGCGAGAAGCTGAGCGCATTTCAAGAGAAGAGCATCTTTCCACAAAAATCGCCGTAATTTCGGGTGTCGGCACAAGAGACTATTATAGACGACTGGGATACCACCTGGAGGGACCATATATGGTTAAGTCTTTGACAATAGATACTTGCTCCCACGCCAACTAAGCCGCTCAGCTTTGTCGAGATGGTTATTTTAGTAAATTTTTTATTTGCATGCCTGGGCTTGTTTGTTCTAACCCTAACCCTAGCCTCCCAAGTAACAGCCAGAGTAGTCCATTTTACCAAATAAAACGACAGCATCTGTTTCGTTAGACCCAAAGTTCACGCAGGATCCTACCCAAAGAAGTCCACTGGTTTACCAAATCCTTGCCCGTGCATTCGCTCTGACCTACGGCATCCATTGAACGGGCAATTGCGTCAAGAAGCTCCGGAACCATTTTTGATTGATCACCGCAAATGTAAACTGAAGTTTGAGGATTCTTCCCATCACCAATCATGAGAGAAGAAAAGGTTTGCCGCTCCTTCCAGATAATTTCCTGAACATATCTTTGTCGATCATCGTTTATATAGGGAAGGTCCTTGTGGTGTTTCGAAGATGGCTCGCTATTATGGGATCCTTCTTTGCTATTGTGTTGGTGATGCGAATTTTTTTCTTTAAAAATATTATTTGCGATGATGCCATTGTTATTTGCGGGATAGGTGATGTCTTCCTCTGTTTCTGGTCTTGAATAGGCGACTGAAAGTTTCGTTAAACTTCCCAAGTTGAGAAATTTGTCAATTTCTTCCTTGAAGGGAAAATGTTGTTCGTTTTTACACCCGTAAATTAGCCAAACGGTCCTTTCATGATCGCTGCATAAAGACTGCAAGAACGAATGGAAAGGAGCTATTCCCGTACCATGAGCAATCATTATAATGTTTGTGGCTGGATTTTTTGGCGGGCAAAAGGTAGTGGCCGGCTTGTGCAATAATGGAATTTTGCTTTGTAAAGATGAAAGAGAGACTAACCAGCTCGTACAATGTCCCCAATCTTCATGGTTAAAGATAATGGAAACCCTTTTTTTGTACCCATCATAGGCGGCTAATGAATATTGGCGGCCAGAAATAGGCGATAGACAATCAATAAGATCTTCAATTGGCATTTTGTTAGCAGATGATGGAGTTGAATGTGATCCTTTTGAAGATTGTACTGCGGTAGAAAAACCGGAGGCAGAAGATGGTATTTCTTCGTCAT